CAGATGCGCTTATAGCAGCAGACATTGCCCCTTTACACAAGGGTGGTAGCAAAGCATTGGCAAAGAATTATAGACCAATTGCACTAATGTCCCACATAATAAAAGTATTTGAGAGAGTGATCAGGAGTCAGGTCACTAGATTCATGGAAACCAATGACCTCCACAATTCAGGCCAACATGGATTTAGAGCAGGAAGATCATGCCTCTCACAGCTACTTTACAGCTACTTGACTACTGTGACAAAATCACTGAGGCATTAGAAGAAAAACATAATTCAGATGCTGTATACCCAGATTTTGCAAAGGGATTCGACAAATATGACCATGGAGTGATTGCACACAAAATGAGGTCAATTGGTATAACTGGTAAAGTCGGACGCTGGATACTCAATTTCCTGTCAAACAGAACACAAAGAGTAACAGTCAATCAAGTAAAATCGAGTCTGAGCGCAGTTAAAAGCTCTGTACCTCAAGGTACAGTCCTTGCACCCTTGCTGTTCTTTATTCTCATATCAGACATAGACAAAAATACAAGTCACAGCTTCGTGTCATCCTTTGCAGATGATACAAAAATCAGCATGAAAATTACCACTGCTGAAGACATTGATAAACTACAAACAGATATTAACAAAGTTTTCGATTGGACAGCAGAAAATAACATGATGTTTAACGGTGATAAATTCTAGGTACTCAGATACGGCAAAAATGATCTGTTTTGTACAGGATACAAAACACAATCGAATCTGCCCATAGTAGGAAAACAGCATGTCAAGGATTTGGGAATAATGATGTCCGACGACCTAACGTTTAGGGAGCATAACCAAGCAAGTATTGCGTCAGCCAGAAAAATGATAGAATGGATTATGAGAACCTTCAAGTCCAGAGATCTCATCACAATGGTTGTACTCTTCCAATCACTTGTGTTGTCCCATCTTGAGTACTGCTCAGTACTCACTTCCCCCTCCAGAGCAGGAGAGATTGCTGAAATAGAGGGAATACAGAGAACATATACGGCACGCATAGACGAGATAAAGCACCTAAATTATTGGGATCGTCTCAAAGCTCTCCAAATGTACTCACTAGAAAAAGAGACGAGAGAGATACCAAATACAGTATCCAATCAATTTAACGGCCTGTTTTATACCGATCTGCCGGTAATAACGACCGGTTTGGGAGATCGGTATCTGGAGCCTCGTATACCGGCCTGGTGGTCGATATTACCGACGGTCGGTATTGCGTTTGTTTTGGCATCGGCAGCCCCTCACATGGTGACCAGGCCACCAACCTCGATCATCCAGAGTCGTATATTAAATCTTAACTTTCTTTTAAAATGATTCAGTTTTATGAAGAAAATTCTAAATTATTAATAATAAAATATTTTAAAACAATTGTTATTAAGCAAAATTCTTTGTTTTCTTATTAAATACCTTTTATAGTATAGGCAATAGGTATTTTTTTCCCCCACGGACCTAGAATGTACTGCGCCTGGCCATGTGACCGCATTGTTTACTGTGAACTCGCGTGGCTGAGAGCAATGTCTCAGAATATTAGCCAGAGAAAATCAGATTCAGACAAAAATAGATAAATTCATGATTTCAATGGTTCGTGAAAGCACCCACTGGGAATTCAACAAGTCATACAGCATCCACTGGCAACGAGTGCCCTACAAGCCATGCTTCACCCGCCGATGCTGAATTCCCATCGACAAGTTATGGAGCATCCACTGGCAACATATGCTCTGCAAGCCATGTTCCCCATGCCGATGCTGAATTCCCATCAAAAGTCGTGTAGCCTCCACTAACGATATAAAATATGATTGAAAGGCAATATAAATTAGTGTAAAAAGTGTTGATAGAGTACAGTATTGTAAGTGTTAATGATTATTTAAGCCTTGACAAAAAGATACTGTACAGTGTAAATATACAGTACTGTAGAAATAATTTTCAATTGTGAATTAGAATTAGAACTCATGTGAATTAGTAGTAAGGCTAGCTGTTATGTGAAGTGAATGCCAGAAAATAAGTGTACATACTGTATGTACCCTGTATACAGTACTGAACAATATAAAACAAGCGCTGCAGAGAATGACGTAATCTTCAGCTTCATTAAAATAAGTCAATTTACCAATTTTATTATAGTATTACAACATATTGGTTTTTTTTTCAACAAAAGCTACATATTAACAACACTTTCGTCCGGGCATGACACAATGCTGCGTCGTCAGTTTACTGTCGGTAGTCTCGGGGATGATGCAATGCTGCGTCGTCCACTAAAATAATCGCCAAAAATCAGGTTTTTATCCGATTTTTTGGGGACTGGTTTTAAAATGAGCGCCTATGTCTTCCGTACACGCCTATGTCATGTTCAACAGACAACACTGAGGTGGTAAGTACAAAAAATTGTATTATTTTGTATATTTTTTTTGTTCATACCTTTGCGTATTGCACTGGCAATATTGTTCTTCAATTAGCCCTTATATGCACATATCCATCTAAAGCATTCTATTAGGAACAATTTCATACCTAAATGAGCGCTGTAACACGAAAATTGAGATTAGCAACCGGTAAAAATACTAAACATATGTGGGCAGGAATTGGGAGTGTAGCAGGAAGGCGTTTGGGCGCTCCCTCCCGGCTAACGCATGGCCCGTCTTCAACTTGTCGGCGGCTGGAGTGTGACCCGGTTTTTTATTTCATATGCTAAGATTCCTCTAGAGAATTCTATTGCAAACCCATTGATACCAAAATGAAAGACCTAGGACGAAAATTGAGGTGACCAGAGTGAAAAGAGTGAACACATTTTATCGCTTTTGCGCGCTCCTGGGTAACTCGTTCGCACTTTCTCTGTTTGCTGCGGGTAATCAGCCGGGCTTTTGGAGTTTATATGCATTTAGTGCTGTAGAGAATTCTATTGCAAACACAATGATACCAAATTTAATCTCGAAGGACGAGAATTGAGGTGACAAAGTTGAAGAGAGTATACACTTTTCAGAATTACCGCGTCCTCCCGTAAAACGCTGGGACCCATATCGCATAGTTGAGGGGTGGCGTGCGGGGTGCGCAAAAGTGTTAATCTCCGCAAATGTATATTCTATCATTAGCAGAGAATAGGTGAGCTCAAAATATTTCGTCTTGGCTAGCTCTCAGTGACAAGGCTCGATCGCCATTGTATGGCCTGGCCGCCACAGCCTGTGTCATAATATTAAAAATACATTACCTCCACTGTTCAGGGTAAAACAAAACACATCTCTAAAATTTTATTGGGAAAATATTAACAATCACTGATTGATACATGAAATATTTCGCAATACAAAGGAATGAACCAATTTTTTCCCACCCATTTGGACTTGATCAGACCATGTTCACACATCATCCATGCAGCAGCCACCAGCTGGCTTAATCGTTGGCGTGGCACTAAATTGGAACGCAATTACACAATGAACTTTATTTAATTTTAGTTATACAGTATAAAATATGTCCTACCTGAATGTTACTTGAAAAATTACCCGACCCGACTTAACTTCGGAAATAACGGAGCTCCGGAAATAACGACCAGGGTACAGCCCCATATAGGCTGTTAAATTGAGTGGATACTTATACACATGGAAAATACTGGAGGGACAGGTCCCAAATTTGCATAGTAAAATAACAACATACTGGAGTGAACAACATGGAAGAAAATGCAGAATAGAACCAGTTAAGAGCAGAGGTGCCATGAGCACAATCAGAGAACACTGTATGAACATCAGAGGTCCACGGTTGTTCAACGTCCTACCAGCGAGCATCAGAAATATTGCCGGAACAACCGTGGACATCTTCAAGAGGAAACTAGATTGTTTTCAAGGAGTGCCGGACCAACCAAGCTGTGATGGGTATGTGGGCCTGAGGGCCGTTCCAAGCAACAGCCTGGTGGACCAAACTCTCAAGTCAAGTCTGGCCTCGGGCCGGGCTTGGGGAGTAGAAGAACTCCCAGAACCCCATCAACCAGGTAACCAAGGTGAGAGAATGATTTGTAGATAAAGGCAGTGAATGTACATACATGGGTTTGAGGTAGACAGAGAAAGAGAACCCAGACACAGAGCTGTGAACGTCAAGAAAAGTAAGGAGGGAATTAGATTACCATTCAACTTTGAAATGGATAGGAGCCACCAGATTGTTAAGAGAGGAGAGGAGAGGAAAGGCTGGAAAAGACTAAGGTCATAAGGCAAAAATGTCATCAACATAGCGAAGCCAGAGAGAGGGACGAATATCAATAGTAGGAAGAAGAACAGTTTCGAAGTATTCCACGTAGAAATTGGCAAGAACAGGGAAGAGAGGGGAACCCATAACGACACCGAAAGTTTGAGTGTAATATTTGCCATTGAAAGAGAGTCAACACAGAGTCTAATGAGTTCGAGGAAAACGTCAGTGGGAAGCGGGAGAGGAAGAAGGCCCTCAGTCGCCTTCTGTCTAAGGAAAGAGAGAAAGTCATTGAGCGGAACATTAGTGAACAGAGAGTCGACGTCAAAACTAAGCATCTTACAAGAGGGCTGCACGCGCAGTTTTTCTATGAAATCCTGAGAGTGAGGAAGATGGGCATGAGAAAAAGTGCCAAGGTAAGGCGTCAGAGTTTTAGCGAGCCAGGAGGCAAGAGGATAGCTGACAGAGCCCCGTGAAGAAATGATAGGACAAAGAGGAACACCAGGTTTATGAGTCTTAGGTAGACCACAGAAGTAAGGAAGAGAAGGGCAGATGACACGGAAACGTTTAATGAGATCGAAGTCAGGAGGACAAAGACTAGAGAGCTGTCTTAGTTTGAAGTTAAAGGAATTTTTAAGGAAGGCATCTAACCCTTTAGCGATCCAAAGGGTTAGATATCAGAGGGGCATATGTGAGGGAGTCAGAGAGCACGACATCTGCTTTCCGGAGGTAGTCCTCACTGTCAAGGACAACCACTGAATTGCCTTTGTCAGAAGGAAGGATAAGAATAGAGTTGTTAGATTTCAGGGAGGCAAGGGCAAGCCGGAAGCAACGAGGAAGGTGGTGAATTTTAGAAAACAAGCTGTCAAGAACAGGGATAAGGGCCCCTCTAAAGGCAGATAGATCTGATAGAGTACTAGAAAAAAAAAAAGACAATAGGATAATGCTATCAGGATCAGACATTACATACCTTTGGTTATTGTTGTTGGTATTGGAGCTACTGCCATTAGTTGGATTCTGAATTCCAAGTGGATCACTTATTGGATCATATTGCTGCTGCTGCTGCTGCTGTTGCTGCTGCTGCGGGGGCGGCAAATGTTGCTGGTACGGAGAAAAAAAAGAAATAACTTAGCATTTTCATGTCTTGACAGAACGTCTTAACCCTTAAACTGCGCAATACATACATATATGATTTGACATAACATAATTTAACTTAAGTTTTTAAAACTTGCACAAACACTTTCCAATATTTTGCGCATAATCAACTAGGCAAATGCTCCAAGTTTGACTAAATGATCAAAACGTAACTTGAAAAACAAGAGAATCAAAAATAATTTTAAAATAGAATATTGAAAATTTCAGATTTCCAATTCGGAAAAAAAAATATGAAGTATCACCAACTGTTCATTTAATGTTATTTTTCTCTCAGAATAGCATATGACCTTCATTTTCATCAAATTAGAATATAGGTTTTCAGTATAGTTTACTGTAAACAAAAAAATTGTCAATAAGGCATTTAAAATATGCAGCAAATTTAGACCAAAATTTTTTTTAACTTCAAATGTATAAAGTTTATGAAAAATCCCTTCTGAAGGGATTGTAGAACAGACAGCTGAACACACAATATGTCAAAATAGTGAGAATCGGTCAAAAACTGGAATTTTAGAAGCCACTAAAAGTTGAAACTCTAGTTTCAGATAATTGAAGTTGACGCTGTCAACAATGAATAAAGGTAGTTTTAATCTGATAATTTAATTGTATGCTTTAATAAACATTGTTTGGCATTCGTACTCGAATATATGAAAGTTGTAGGTCAATATGTGTTGAAATGAAGTCAAGAAAAAATAACCCCAAAAAACACAAAATATAGGGATAATTATAATGATTTAGGGGATATAATTAGGGTATCCTTCATATAAGTGAAAAAGCCCTAATATGGTGCCTAATCACCAAAACAACCTAAAGAGACAAAGAAAATAGAGTTTGAAATCAGATAAAAAAAACCTGCCAAAAAAATTAAGTCCCAAGTTTTGTGAGTTGTAACTGATTTATTTGTTGACCAATTTCATTCTATCTTCACATAGTTAGGGAAACATATGCATTCTCCAGGATGTAAAGGTTACAACAAAATCAGATAATAAACAAAGGAGAAAAAACTAAAATATTAAAAAAAAAATCCCTTAAAAAAAATTTTTTTGGGGACATTGATGAAAATAACATACTGTATATTAACATTGGACAATATACTATGTATTACTCAGCAATGATATAAAGGCACCAACTGCATATTCACTTTGTCCACACTTCTTACTACTATTCTTCTTCTTTGAGCGTTGGACAAGTGCTTGCATCTCTTTATTACTGCATTATCCCTCGGTTACAGTTAATAGGAGCTGTTCTCCTTATCAACAAAATGTTCTTATTTTTTAAAAATTAGTTTAAAATCAATTTCTAAAAATATTTTGATGAAAGTTTCACGACACTGAAGCCAATAAGTTTGAGATTTGTTTAACATTTTTAGGTTATTTTTACATAATTCAAATATTTTTAGCTTCCAGGCCCTCAATACGCGTGGTAATATGCGCAGTTTAAGGGTTAAAGACAACAAAATCAACTATTCTTGAGGATAATATCTCGCCAATTTTATCCATCCTTAACTCCAATAACAATATAGAATCTCCCAGACAGGGATACCTCGAGGTTACCTTGAGGTGCTTCCGGGGCTTAGCGTACCCGCGGCTTGGTCGTCGACCAGGCCTCCTGGTTGCTGGACTGATCAACCAGGCTGTTGGACGCGGCTGCTCGCAGCCTCACGTATGAGTCACAGCCTGGTTGATCGGATCAGGATAGTAAGTCTTAAAAAAACAGCATTTAATGAAATGAAATGCAAATGGACAATGGTCCATGAGTGGAAACAAGGGCAGACATCAGCGAAGACCTGAGTCTCAGTATTGTAGCAGAAGGTGTAATTGTAGCAGAAGAAGCACTTCGGGATCTCCTTTCCCTGAACATGCCCGCCTTCTTCTTCTTCAAGAACTTATTCATGCCACCTCCTTGCAAGTTGACGAGGCTTTTCTTGCTGTTCGTCAACAGCAACGCTTTCTGTCCTCTTCTCTTCCCAGTGATCTGTGCAATATCATTTTTCCAATTGCATTTGACACTGCTCATGTCTCCTCTTCCCACCACTCCTCCACACTACACAACAAACTTCAACGCCTGATCTCCAACAGTCCTTGGGCCAAATACTCTCTCTCTGACTGTGTTACCAACCTTTCGTCCTACTCTCTTTCTAAGCACCAGCAAGAACTTCTTGGTCTTGGTCTGTCTTTTGCTACTTCCCCTGGCCCACGCTGTGGCATTGATCTCATTAGTTCCTTTGACAGGTTTGTCAATTCTAACTTTAGTACTCTTTCGGACCTGTCTGCCTTTAGAGGGGGGCCCTTATCCCCGTTCTTGACAGCTTGTTTTCTAAAAATCACCACCTTCCTTGTCGCTTCCAGCTTGCCCTTGCCTCCCTAAAATCTAACAACTCTATTCTTATCTTTCCTTCCGACAAAGGCAATTCGGTGGTTGTCCTTGACCGAGAGGATTACCTCCGAAAAGCAGATGTCTTGCTCTCTGACTCTCGCACTTATGCTCCTCTGACTTCTAACCCTTTGGATCACTCGCTGGCCAGGCCTCGAGCTGAGAGGATGTGCGCGCCTCCTCTCCCTCTTTGGGTCAAGTCCCTCGTCCCCAACCTTGTGCTGTGATCGCCGAGGCGGTATCGTCACAATACTACTGTGCTGCTGAGTGTTCCAACACTGTTGCATAAGTCACTAGCATCAAGGAACCCTAGAGTGAACTAGGGAGTGGCGCCTGAGGTCGAAGGCAGGCTAGCCTGCCCCCTCCACTCCCTTAGGGGAGCCTACCAAACATTAGTGTTTGATGCAGCATTGCTGGTGCTAATAACACAGCATCGCCTGTACAGTGTACCTGGGACTCACTGTAAGACTCTAGCAAGAACCAGAGGGCATCTACAGCTTCAGACACCAAACAGCAAGGAGAGTTGTGGGATCGTAATCTGACCCCCACGGACCTCTGACCCTTGCGGTTAGAGCGCTGACCCAACAGTCCCCCCTATCCCTTCCCTGGCGGGAGGTTGACAGCCGTCAACACTTCAATGATGCCAGCTTTGTACAGAGCACCTGTACATTCCTAGTTATAAGACTTATCTTCTCCACTTTCTCTTATTCTTCTCATTTCGCCATTTCAACAGGTCAAGTGGAACGGTCCAGTGGCCCATGCGGTTACCTGTAAAATCTGGGGGGCCACTTGACTTGGGCATCTGTTCACCCTTGTAGCAGGGTTAGGCTGTCTTAGGGGACATTCTGTCCACACATAGGAGAATAAGTCACTGAGGGCTACCCTCTGCGAGTCCCAACCAACCAAGTGGAATATCCAAGTGTTTATCCAAGTCGTCTGAGCACTCTCAAACCCACTGAGAGTGCTCTTCCCCTCAGAGCAGGTTTATGACTGTTGGCGCTGATGACTGGTAAGGCATGCTGCCTGCTCTGCCATTTGTCGTGTTAATCATCATCATATGATTATTAATGCAAACCAGGTATCGGAAGAAGTTAGAGCAACAATTAATGCCGCCTGAAGAAGCAGGTATGGAGGAGGTAGCTGCTGGACCCTCAGGGCTCTCCCCTACCGTGACCAGTGACACTGTCACCCCACCACCCAATGATGGGTTTGTGGAGGTGGTAAGTAAGAGCCAGAGAAGGAAACAAGGGAAACAGAAGCCTGGTGAACAACAGGGTGGAAGGCGTCCGATAGCACCAAGGAACGAGTACACACGTCTGACCTTCCCTAAAGGCACGAGTGTGGCGGACAGGATAGTGTGGAGTAAGAAACTGAGCGAGGTGTACCCACCTGGCTCTGCAGGCGTGCTACGTCCACATGTCAACTCTCCATATGTGTATGTTTTAAGAGAGAAGCAGCAGGTTGTGGAGGCTCTTCTAGAAGGGAAAATAGGTGATGTAAAGCTCTCCCCTCTAGATAATCCAACACGGAACAAGATGGTTGAATACCTAGTCTACAGGTACAGTCACAGATATCCACTAGAGTGGGCCTATGAATTAGACGGGGTACACAGAGCACGAAGATTGACCAAGAATGGTAAGCCTACTGATCAAATAGTCATAGTCTGGAAAAAGCCTGATTCGCCACCTGACCAGTATTGGTTTGGTGGGTTGTATGCACGCCCCAGCATGTTCAGGGTGTGGGAGCCGAACCCTGTGGAGTGTTACGAGTGCTGTGGCAGTGGCCACATAGCTAAGCACTGCTGGTGCCCCACACCCAAGTGTGCTCTCTGTTCCGGTCCTCATGCACTGAAGGACTGTCAGTATAAGAAGACCAGAGACCAAAGAAAGCAGAAACAGGAGCAACAGAACACTGCAACAGAAGCAAGGCAACATCCTGAATCTGTGGCTCCGTCTAAACCGCCGCTGAAGTGTTTCAGATGTGGTACGGAAGGAGTCACCATCTGGCACTCAGATTGTACCAAACGGCCAGCCTCCCTTGGCACAAGGAGGCAAGTGCCCGAGACACAACAAGTGTCTACTGATACCGGCTCTAGTACTGTTGACCCATCCCATAGTGGTGACAGTACCAGCAACGCCCCTGACAACACACAACAGCCTGATACAACAGTTAATGGACAGTTGGCAACCTTGCAAGCACAGGTAGCAGAACTGACTGAAATTATACAGACGCTACGTCGGGCTCCTCCACAAGAGATACAGCAGCCTCCATGCTGCTGTGTCACAGCCGTGGCCCGCGCTGGTAAAGGTTCCTGTGGTGGTGGTGACGGCGGCGGCGGCGACAACAGAGATGAGAGCGACAACGGAGGCGGTGGCAGCGACGTCGTCAGTCAACTCAGGGATGACAGCAGTGTTAGTGACACAGAAACATTAACTGGAAAAGGAAGTCGACCTGCATCAGCATATTTTAAAATGATTCATGACCATAAGGAACGCGCTCAAGCCAAGTACGAGAATGAAAAAGATAATACTCTGAGTGACAGTAATTATGCCATACGACTTACAGATAACATTCAC